AGTTCTCTCCCAGAAATTATTATTTAATTATTCTTGCAGTAAAAAGGTCGGTGGGAGTTTGAATGAGGAACCAATTAATTATTGCCACGCCTGTCTCTGTATAGTTTGTTTTTTTATAAAAGTAATATGTAATCTATTCTTGCTGAAAAACAGCGCTGCAAGTCATATCCTTATGTGGTTTTAATTGACCTTGCCTTTTTTTTACAAAAAATAAAATAATTAAATAGAGTAATTATTACTTATGAACTTCTTAAGCTGCTGTGCAAACTTAATTCTTGATTTACTGGTAATATACTAGCCTACAAATTTAGAATCCAAATAATTTATGCAATAAGTACTCGGCCAAATAACAAACCGACACTTATGGCTGCAAATTGTAATAACAATCATTTTTGTAAAAGAAGAACACGAATGACTAAAACAATAATTTGTTTCATCTTAATCGGTACAATATATTGGGGTACGTAGTTAAATAATTTCTTTAGTATAGGCACAGGCGCCCACCTTCTCCCACCTTATATTCTAGTTTAAGTCGTTGTATCAAGTAAATAGTCTTACGAAAATGTAATTAATCATACATGGATCATTTACATTTTCGTAGGACTACTTATTTACTTATCTAAAATTGCTCATATAAATAAACAGGATAACATCTCGTCGATACTCACGTTTCAACGATCGCGGTTTCGCTTGCTTCCTTCGAGACATCCTAAGCACGTGACAAACCAGAAGTCCACACAATCAGCCAGCCGGTCGGAACGTGGCAGTGCACATTTTCGCGGTAAAGTTTGCCGGTAATCGAGCGAGCAAGGGCGCGCGTCACGCTCGGCAGAAGCGACCACCCCGCGCTCAGCGAGCTTACTGGCGCCCAACAAGTGGCATAACAATACTGTTGCCGCCGCGCAAACTCGCAACCGTGACCCTATATCTTGCACTTTCTTACAGTTTCTTCGGTGAACTTTATACTTTGAAGTCTCTCTCCTATACTGCATTACCTACAACAAACAATATATTATTAATCTAGTTAAAATCTCGTTATGAGGTAATAATGTTCTGAATGTAAAAAATACGAATTATAACATATTAAAAAAAATTTTTTGAAGTTGTTGTAAGCTATGGTATTTTATTAAATAACAAATGTTGCACAAGACTGTGGACCGCGTTATTTGATACAACAGAAATTAAATCCTATGGTTATATCTGACTATAGGTATAATAATAATTTAAGGGCCACTTGCAGCAAATTTGCTAAATCTCAATGTCACCAAAATCAGATTTAACCATAGATATGTACTTGACGACCTCCGGTAGTTGAGTGGTTTATACGCCGGGTTCCACGGAGTCGCCGACTCAAAAGGTCCCGGGTTCGAATCCCGGTGGGGGCAGATGTTTGTGTGTTGAATACGAGCATTTGTACTCCATTCATGGATGTTTAATATGTATTTTTATATTAATAATATATACACATATGTACAGTATATGTATTCTATCCGTTACCCTAGCATCCCATTACACAAGCCTTACAGTGCTTACTTTGGGGCTAGGTGAATTGGTGTGTGTTGTTAAAAAAAAAATTAGTATTAGTCAATGTCAAGTCAATACATAGCATAATGTACAAAATTTTGACTTATGGTTACTTTTGTTAAGTCCACTTGCATATTAAACATCCATAACTTGAGTTCAAATGCTCGTATTCATCACACACACACATCTGCCTCCAGCGAAATTGGGATCTCTCGCTATTCGTTCGAAAAATAATTATTGCGCGGTCTTCTATCAAACTTCCATCAGCCACCGTCCATTTCCACTTCCAGCATCGGGTCCTCGTCATCAGGAAAGGTAAACAGAACTTGATACGTTTGCTAAATTGAAACCTAGAGTTTCTTCTCCTACACACAACAGCTTTGTTAAGGATTCATACCACTTTGTCAATGAGATTCAAGATCAACGTCTCATGGACTTTGAAACAATGGTCAGTTCTGATGTTCAGTCCTTATTTATATGCCTACCAGTACAGGACTGCCTTGAAATCACTAAGAAGAAGATACTTGAAAATAATATGCGTGTAGAATATGCAGAATTACTAGTACATTGCCTTACATCTGGCTACCTGTTATGGGGGGATGACTTCTTTTATGTACAAGTGGAGGGTGTTGCGATGGGTTCCCCTGTCTCACCTGTTGTCGCCATTAATATTTTTAAATAACCTTAACTCCATACACCCCCAAAATCCAATTCACTATGGAGTTAAAGGCAGATAGTAAATTAGCTTTTCTAGATATTTTATTATTCAGGAATCCTAACCAGAGTTTAAGCCATACTGTGTATAGTAAAGTAACTAATACTGATAGGTACCTCAATGGTAACTCACACCATCACCCGAAACAGTTAACTGCCGTAGGAAATAGGCATGTGTCCGATATATCAAAACGAATCCAAAATCCGATTTCAAACACAAATCGATACCGAACGATTTCTCAACAAGAAAATCCGATTTCAGAAATCTAACCGAACCAAAACGCTAGCGATCTAATACCACCACACAGTATCCAAATGTAAATCGGATTCGAAATTCGTGCTTTCGTTTTCGGAAGTCCGATTTCGGTTTGCTGTTACGGAAATCTATTGTTCTTCTCTAAGGCGGGATTATTTATTACTGAAAAAGATGTCGTCTAAAAACATCAAAAGTCGAGCAACTGACATTTTTTGAACGCTAACCTGAAGTAATTAGGTTTGATTTTGTAAATGGTTTGAAAAATAATAAAAACAAAAAAAAAAATACTAAAAAAATATGTAAAAAGAAATCATTGTATATAAGCCGATTTTTAAATGCGCCGCAAAAGTTTTACTTTTAACCACCTTTTAACCGTAAAGATAACTTTTCTGCTAGTCCTAAGCCACAGAATATATACTCTTGCCTAAGCCTAGATTTAAAGCATAAAGGAAAATCGCGCAAATCTACGAGTATCCTTGCTTCGTACAATTAATTGTTTGTGATTGTCGTTAGCTAATAAAACCAAATCATAACACAAACTAGTGAATTGGCTAAGTTCGGCACATCTGAAATCGGATATCTAAAAACGGATTTTAAAATCGATTTTGAAATCTGAAATCCGATAAATATCCGTTTGCGTTCAAAACCAAAAACGCCCATGTCTAGTAGGAAACTCTTTGTTTCAGAGAGCACGGGGTGTGCCTGTGACAAACAACACCTGGCAGCAGAACTTCAGCATGTCGAGCGAGTACTGAAGGATAATAATCTGAATGTCTACGTCGCCGTCAAAATCGCTCCAAACCTAGCACAGTCGACCGACAACCTGCTGTACTACCTTACATGAAAGGAGTCACTGACAAGGTTGGGAGGATTCTGAAGCGTGCTTCGATCAATACTTACTTCAAGCCAAGCCAAGATCAACCAGTTTCTACGACCTGTCAAGTGCAATATACCCTTTCAAGTTGCTGGTGTCTACAAATTTGAATGCGACTGTGGGCTCTCCTACATCGGGCAAACAAAGAGGAGTATAGGGACTCAGGTTAAAGCACATATTTCAGATATGAAACATAGGCGCGAACTAGGGGGACCAAACCATTACATTAGATTCGATAAACCACAAATTCTTTCAACTGAACAACACTTTATTAACGCGAAGATTGTTGGTATATACCACCAGCTTGAGAACCCATTATACAACAGATAGAATCCCAAACCTGAGAACACACTGTAAGACCAACAGATACTATTAGTTATTTTTGTTTGCATGATTTAACATAAGAAGGTGATAGAAAGCATCTCTTAGTTTGATTGGCCGGTTCTTCTCAGAAAGGTCTCCCAATTTTGGAACCGGTGGTAGTATAAGGTAGTTAGGGTCAAATAAATAAATAAACTCAAAATTATAAAAAATATTTAAATAAAATACTTTATTAATTAAATTAACTAATTAATTCATGCATAGACAATAAAGTTTTAAATATGTTCTAATGAAATATCCGAACGCTAAATAAAAATCTTTCGAAGGTTGCTGGACAAAGTTTTTAAAAAAGAACTATATTCTGATGACGCATTACTGCAAAGACTGCGAAACGTGAATAAATAAATTAAATCAGTGCATCTAACCCATTGAAACTTGTTTTATTTAATGAGTGATGTGCGTTAAAACTTAAGAAACAAACACAAAAAATATATCTCCGACAGACTGAGTTGATATTGTTTTTGACTATTTTGGGAATAATTACGAAATTTTCACTAGTAAAGAAGACTTTGCACCTGTTCTTTCAACATTTTTGTCCAATAGCAACATTAAATACAAAGAGTGCAAATACCATATGAAATATTTCGCAGAAAAACATAATAATTGGCTAAGCCAAACACTAATCAGCGGACACCTTTCAAGTGCGGCTGGAGCAGCTACTGCTAATACAAGCTGTATGTCACCAAAAAAATAGACCCTACACTCCAGAAGAAGCACTTACTGTTATAATTGATGGATAACTTTCAATTGAAACATATAATTTTCTGCACTTGGATCTCCAAGAGCGTAAATTTCCTGCACTTCCTTCCCATTATAAAGTCCAAGACGCCAGAAAATTTTGTTATCCTCTTGATATTTAAGTTTCAACTGGTCAACTCTTTGAACATAATATGTCATGGGTTATTAGCGGGGTTGGCGTCTTATTTTAATTATTCTTAAATTCGTTCAAAGCGGATTTTGTGAAATAAAATTGGTGTGATTTTGTGTTACAAGAGTTACAACCGTTTGCGCAACTGAAAAATAATATACGCTATTCCGATCAAGTGGACGTGAGAACTGTATTATAGCGTTAAAAACCTCACAGAAGCTTATCGAAGAAGCCAACTCGATACATTTCATGCCAAACACTCCAAGAAACATTAGATGGCGTCAGACTAACATTCTAACGTAAAAAAAAAAGAATAATAAAACTTAAAACTAGGCTGTATGAGCATTGTTCCCTTTGCCTTCTCTGAAAAGGGAATCTTAAAAAAATCATTGTCATTTTATAAAAAATCCTCTCAGTTTGCAGTATATTTGTAAATCTAAGTTAGAACAACACAAATAAGAAGAAATGGATCTTCCATTTGAGGCAAGCGTTACTTATATATTTAATTGTGGACGTTTCTTTTTACTGTCATGACAACCTTTAAATATTTTCTTTGTTCGTGTTTCAAGAACTACTTGAGCCATTTAAATAAATTTTCTCACGTGATTTTGACAGTGCTGTAAATTACAATTAAGTTACCTGGTTCCCTTTAACAATTTCCCAACAACAATTGTAAAGAATTTTCATAAAATCCGCTCATTATCTATCATGCAACAAACCTTATTAGTTTCGGCAAATAAATATTTATAGTCGTTTAATAAATGTTATCGTTATTTACTAAGTATTTTGGGAGAACTAATTCATGAAGCAACAATTTTTATATATTTCCAGGTGTTGGTCTATTTAATGAAATATTTACCAAAATCAGACAGAAAGGCTGCTAGTGAGATATGTCGCTCCTGGTACATGGCTGCTAATGACTACTGTTTCTTGAAGAACAAAGTAGTAATATTCTATAAATCAGTCTTGAATGATGAAGAAACCTCACCTTCCAATATTTTTGAAAATTCATCAACCATATTTTTTAATTACTTATTCAGTGAAGTTGAAATACCAAATAAGATTAATGCATTTTGGGATAAATTAGGAGAAAACATAAGATGTTTAACTCTTAGGAACTGTGATATCAATGAAAAGGTATTTGTTTATATATTGCAAAGATGTTGCAATCTCCATTCACTAAACATAGAATGTTGTAAGGAATTATTTATGTCAGGACGCCTGTTGGAAGGCAAGACAGAAGGACTTCTTGCGGAAAGTCTTAACAACTTAAAAGCCTTAAGTTTATCTGGAAATCAATATTTGACTGATGCATTATTCAACAGATTTATTGTAGCATCTCCAGCTTTAATAGAATTAAACTTGTCTGGTTGCTCTTTACAATTTCATCTTGGATTGGTAAAAAAGTTTTATCCTCCAGGATCTGATGTTTTTCAAAACCCATCAGAAAGTGTTTTAACTTTTTACTTTGTTTTACAATTAATTATATCAAGAGCAGAACACATGAAAAAGTTGTTTTTTTCCAACACCCTTATAGATGGAGCAGCATTAAAATCTCTATCTGAAGTTGAAAATTTGAGATTAGAAAGCCTCGAAGTGAATTCCTGTGATCAGTTGACTAATACTGGTATATTAGCATTAACAATTAATCAAACTACTTTAAAAGAATTAGATATTGGTTTATGTACAAGAGTAACAGATCAGTCACTTGTTTATATATGTAAAAATCTAGTCAATCTAGAATACTTCAATATTCAAAGGTGTCGAGCAGTCACAGATTTGGGTATTATTGAATTAAATAAACTGAAGAAATTAAAGTCATTAAATATTTCGCAATGTGAATTAATTACTAAAGATGGCTTAGAAAAGGGAATATGTGCAGTAGAAAATAATATATTAGAAGAATTAGATGTCCATTCTCTTAATATTGATGAAAGTGCAGTCATCATGATTTCAGAAAAATTTCCTAATTTACGTTCTTTAGATGTAAGTTACTGTTTTAACGCTGTAACTGACACATCAATTCAAGTTATTTTCAAAAACCAAATATATCTTCAAACCTTGAAAATGAGTCACTGTGACAAAGTTTCTGATGCTGGATTAACAGGAATGGGTAAAGTGGAAGAAACTGGTGATGATGGCCCAATAATGTCTAATTATGATGAATCTGGAAACTCTCAAAAGATACACTTAGGATCTAGAGCAGAGGAGGAAATTGTCAGAGATGCAAGAAGGAAGCGTGATGTCTTGTTAATGTGTGCAAAACTGACAACTGATACCTTCACAGGTTTCTCTCTAGCAAGGATCAAAGGGTTGAAGGAACTTGATATTAGTAGTTGTAATAGAATCACAGATGTAAGTCTTACCTATGCATTTAACTTCAAGGAACTCACTAATTTAAATCTGAGCCGATGTCAACAAATAACACAGGAGGGTATTGGATATCTAGTCAAGAATTGTCCCAGCATAGAATATTTAAATCTGATTGATTGTTACAATTTAAAAGATGAGGCTGTTGCAGAAATAGTCAAGGGTCTTAAAAGACTACAGCAACTTGAATTACGGGTAAGGATATTTTAATAGTGCTAGTTATGTATGACTTATGCTTTAAGTATATAATTTGATATATACGCAACGTATTTTGAACGAGCTGATGACTCGCGTTTTTGTTATATTTGGAAAAGCTTTATGGTGCAGGTGTTTAGCGCGTTCGGCGTGCGATCGTTCAAGTCAAGCAACTTTCGCAATGGTTGGTCATTGGATGAGCTCCTCCATAGTTAGGAAGGCACGTAAAACCGTTGGTCCAGGCTACCTACTACAGTCGTTAGCACCAACCAATCTGCACCAGTCCTGTTCTACCTATTCCATCCATAGCGAAGGCCTGTGCCCTAGCAATGGAGACATTATTAGGCTGATGATGATAAATGTAAACGTGCATTGTCAGCTTGCATTTAAAATACGTTGTGTTGATAGATACTGAGCTTATAAATGTGTACACACAGGCTACGGCAGACAATTGTGTAATGCAATTAATTCGACTAAGACCGACCGACCGACCTGGCGCCATATTGTGACGTCATAGCTGTCAAATCAAACCAAATGAGTAGAGTGAGCAAAAGAAAGGTTTTATTTAATAAAACTTATTGACTAAGATTAAGTGAGAAAATCATCAGATTTTTTAAAATTTATTTTATTTACAAAAAACATTAATCAGAATCTAGCTCTTCAATTCCGCTCATCTCTGCATTACCGTCGAAGTATTTATGAATAATCATGCACTATTACTAGGTCACATACGAAAGTTTTAAATCGAGTTTCTGAACGCATCTAAAGTGACATTCATATCCAAGCACAATAAATGAAAAAAAAAATTGTGTGTGTTAGCTCCGACGCACTACTGGAGTTTACTCCTTATGTTCGATAGTCTAACCAGACGCAAAAAGAGTTTATTTAACTTAAAAAAGATTGATACTGTATGAAAGGGTAAATTAACAAATTAATGAAAATAATATACATATATAAATATATATTTATTCATTTCATATACATTTATTATAACTAATCGACGAAATATTTTACATTAAACTTTTTACAATAGTCAATTTCAGATGTGCATAAATATATCATTAAGAATGTTGATAAATTATGTAATTATTATTATCAGACTATTATCATTTTTTTAAATATTAATTAAATCAGTTTGACCTTGTTGGGCGATTATGTATACGCCATTTGTGCATTTAAAATTTTAGTTCATATGTATCAAAATAGATGGCGCTGTAGTTCGTTGCATCACGCTTGTAAATATGTTTGGAGCTACTTAAAGGCAAAAAGTCACCTAACTAATAAAGAAATCTATGGTCTAACAAAATACACTGTAGTTTCAATTTAATTCTTTTGCACCTAAGCTCTCGGATTTAAGTCATTTTGGCTCGAACAGACAGGATGCGCACCAAAAACGTAACGAGGTCATTCATCGATAGATTTTACTCCTAACATTTTTATCATACCGGGCCCCTTATATATGCAAATCGATTCTTAAGGAGTAAACTCCAAAAATATTAACCAATATTAATTATCAATATTTGTTATTGTTTGTTTACAAATGTTTCGTTTCCATTCTAGAATTAGATGACTGCTAAAAAAGGGTTCCAAGATTTTTTTACAAACCGTACTTTTCAAGCAACATTTGACAGATAGAGGTCATTGGCTTTCCTATTCTTATTTGAATCGCACTATAGCTTAGTGCACGCACTGTGGCAAAAGCTGGAATGTACCCACATTAACATACAGAAAAACTTGTGGTTTATCTGCCACACTGTAATGCGCCTCTTTGTTTTTCTGTATACAATAGCCATCCCATCAGTTATTCAATGTTAGTTGCTTATTTTTTGTATGTCATAGATTTATTTATAAGCTGGTGATTGTAACACGTCGAGGTCAACAAAGTGTTTGCCTTTCTCTTTTTTTCCTTTGTTGTTGTTTCCTGAATTTCCATTTAAAGGTAAAATTATGTAGATTTTGAAGAATTTCCTGTATCTTATATATAAGTAGTCCTTTAAATTATATAATAATGTATACCATTTATGTTTTAAACATTTAGGACATGTATCTTAAAACCTAATTAAAAGTACCTATATGTTTTCATTTTAGGGATGCAATCAAGTAACAGATAAAACACTAGAAGCAGTGCTGACATATTGCAAGAAACTCAAATATCTGGATGTGCAAGGCTGTCGTAACATATCACCTGAGCTGGCTTGTCCTATTGGAAGCTTACCAACACTGCACACAGTGTTAATGTCTAAACCTGGACCTTACATTTCAGATGGTGTAAAAAACAGATCACCAGCACCAACTTTTTTACCCGCTTTGATGAGAAAACTGCGTTTACACTGAGAAGTTGAAACTGCCAGTCAATTGTTTTGTTGTATAATAACAAAGCATGAACAAAGTGTGAATTCTTAACTTCATGAAAATCTAGTTCCATATCAATAAATAATACTCAGTGTAAGAAAAAAAAATAAGCCTTTAAATTTGATCTAATACAGTTAGCTCTTGAACTTCATCCAAATATTAATTTATTTAATTTGGGTTTTCCCCTTCACTAACTCTAGGAACTAATTTTGTCACCTAAAAATTAAGAAAATGTACTATATGTGACCGAGTACTATTCATTTATAAATATGTATAGTTTTAAAGAACATAAACATATTTAAATGAGACCAAAATGGCACTACAATCACCTGAAATGAGCAAGGCACTGGGTCCACGCGACATTACGATATATTATGCTGTTAAGACAAAAAAGGTCTATGAATTAGAAGCTATGTCATTACATTTGATTTCTGCCAATGACAGGTTGTTAAAATAATTGCATTTTAAAAAGGCACAAGTAGTCCCCGCCCCAACTTCCTTTGGCAACAGCCGCCAATAGAGTGCACTAGTCTCTTTCACTCTCATTCATAAAGCAGATCACATCTCGCTTTCTAGCCTCTGTAAGTAAATAAGTAATCAATAACTATTTTTCATTAATTTCTTTTAAACTGTTATTACGAATGAAATGACAAGTTTTTCTTGCCTCTTATAGTTCCCGTGTATTTTGTGTACTATCTAAAACACACATAGGCTTTTCTTCTGGAAAAACGTAAAATATTTACACGTTGTCGCCAAGTTATAGCCGCGGCGAGAGAGAATTTTATACTTCAATTAGAAAAAACCTTTGTATATTTCACGTGCCTTATTTGGATGGCAAAGATCTCGAAATCTTTGGTTCCACCAAGCAGATCTGTACACTATAGATTAGGGAGCGTCTGTCTGTCCCCCCCCCCCCCCCCCTGGTGAGATGCCGTGAGATTTTATTCAACCCCCCTCCCCCATCCCCCATCCCCCAATCTCACGTGAGATTTTTCAAAAAGTGGGTTTCTTACGTAAATTCGTTGGATTGTTATTGTAAAAAGAAAAAAAAAATGCTTCGTGCTTTTATTTACGACTATTTAAGCCTAGTAATCAATATTACTGAGAATTGTCAGTGAATGATCTTAATCGTATTACGATTACGGTTAAGATTAAATCTTAAGCAGGTACAATCTGGATTAAATGACCAAATCAGTTTTTTTTGTTTCGTCAGAAAAAAAATTGCGCGATATTTGCCGAGACCCCCATCTCTCCAACGTAAGATTAGATGAGATCTGACTCGACCCCTCCCCCCCCCTTAAACATCTCACGTAATTTATGGACGCCCCCTTAGCCATATTTGTCGTGGAATTCGAAAAGGATGTATTCTGTCGAGTCTCTTCAATACAATAAAATACAATTCTCACAGCCACACAAAAGAGCTTGATTTAAAGAGAATGTTTAACGAGATACCTATCACGTATGTATTTACTATTTATTTTTGGCAAGATTTCTAATCACAGCGGCGCGTAACCTGGACTCACCCGCTCACAATTTAAAAAAATCACGTGATTAATGGACGAATACTTTCTTCATTCGTTTTTGGGTGTTTTTTTCATTAGTTTATGCGAGAACTGATATTTTGTATTATTTAATAATTATGCAGTCATATAATATATTCCAGTGTTCAATTTTATTTAACTTTATTAAAGTGTTGTAGTCTTACTGTGATAACATGTTTTAAGTTGTAAGTTAATAAAATATATATGAATAAATTGTTAATACCGATAGTAATTTCTTTATTGTTTTATGCCAAACTAATGGCATACCTAACAATCCATAAATACAATAAAAATAAAAAGTGTGATTAATGTTTTAAACATTTAATTTATGAATAACTTACAATTAAATATCCATGTATACTCTTATATACTTTCTACACACTAACAACTTTGTTCATAATAGTATGATTCTGAATTATGTTATATACAATGGCTATTAATGTTAGGTAGATTTAATGTAAAAATAATTAGTTAATGAATAATAGTGATAATAATTATTATCAGCAAAAAGGTAAGATATGGTCAAAGTACTTAAATAAAATGCCATTATCAAAACAAAAAAGGCAATATTGTTTTAGGGATTGTCTGGCAGATGCTTTAAATTTTAATTTTTAACGTCGAAGGATATATCGAGAAACCCAATCAGTCAATCCTGAAATATTTTCCCCGGTTGTAATCCATTAATATACTGAATTTATCAAGCATATTTTGTAGATTTTGCAGATGTCAGGCGGATATCTCCAAACTTCTAGACTATTTCTAGTAACATTAAAAACGTGTTGTGAAATGGATTATTTAATTAGGATATAAATTACCTCTGGGGCTTTACAAGTAAACAGCAGGAGCCGTATTTCCAGCCCCGCAACCAATGGACTTTTTCTAATCATGCGGATTTTCAATCGTGGTTTGAACCAACGAAGGGATTTACTATTTTATAGATACACAATACTTATCTCTGATAGAAATGAAAACAATGCAGAGTGCTCTGCATTTAGACATAGATCACATTATGTAAAAGAGATACATTTTGTCGAATGTTGTAAATTGCCTGCCTAGTCCACCTTCATTTCATCCATTTTTTTTATCATGATAGACGTCGATATCACCCATGCAGAATGTAAAAATATGTATGAAATGGTGGGATGTGGGCAGCACACGAACGGAAACCTCACGACAGGTGGAGAGTTAAATACCAACCCGCCTTTCAATTAAACTGCTGCAATACAGAAATGCATTTTAATTGAAACATTTCTACTGAAGACTAAATTATTCAACAACAAAAAAATAAACACGAGCTTGCTTAGCAATGCCGGCTTCGTCTATGACTTGTTAATAACGAGCCCAAGGCCAATTAAAAACCCTCCCCTGCAGTAGTTTTTAACTTATATATACTTTATACAAGGAAATTGGTAAAATATCCCATTTTAAATGATAAATAATACATAATTTAATTACATAAACTAACGTTAATACAATCAGCGTCAGATACATAACATAGATAGGTACTTAGGTATGTAAGTATGCAAAGGTACGCCTTTGCCACCAGTAAAAAATAGGTAACTAAAAACCAAATCGCGCCATAAATATTTCAATAAATACCTATTTTCTGTATATCCAATATAATAACTTACCAATTGCACATATATAATTTGCAACTCAATTTTATTAATTTAGCATTTCATTCAAACTATGCTGACTATGTACTATCGAAGGATGTTACTGTGAATTAATTACATTTTCGTTATATTAATACCGAGTGCGGTTTTCAGTTCTTTTTATATTATGAATTTACTAATCTAGTGATATAAAACTTTGGTTGGCTTTAAGGCACCGAAAGCGTCCAATTACAGCCTAAATGTGATGAAAGATATTTTAATTGTAAAGAGTGTACAATTAAAATTGCTGGTCTATAAAATAGATGTTTAAAATTATGCTATTTTATCTAGCGTTCATCGCGATTAACAATAACAAACATAATCCACAATAAATCTTGATAGGTATTGAAAAATGCATATTACATACTTAACAGCTCTGTCCAATCAAAGTCGAATGTTAAAGTCTTATTATCAGAAATATTCATCCACTTTTATTCAAAAAAAATTAAAACAAACGACATTTTTACAGTAACTATGCCTTAGACGCTGTTTTCATTGACGCACAAATTCGTTAGTTATTAAATTATGCCTACGAATTGTGGATAATTTGTAATATCTATGTATTAACTAGATCTGCCTGTGATCACACATATCACGCCCACATTAATGGGATTAAGGGCACCAACAGGTACAGTTATTAAAATAATGAAATTGTTAATCAATGAAAACTACGTCCCGTGGTCGGATTAGGAACTAAGAGCTATGGTACAACAGTCCATTAAATATTTGATCTTGCTTGTTACAATGTGTGATTGTAAAGAGTTTATCTTGAAAACTTGTACATCTTATGATGACACCAAATGAGATCAATATTTTTGGGTTTCATTAGATTTACGTTACCACTGCTACCAGTAAAATTAAATCTCTTTCGGTCGCTCTTTGTGCTACATTCGTGCCTGATTTGCTCTACGATCGATAGGTCTTAGTTATATATCTTTTATTCTTTTAATGTTAACCTGCATTATTCCCAAATACATAAGAAACTAAAAAAGTTTCACAACTTAACTCCGGGCCGCAAAATCAGGAAATTCGCGGGACACAAAAATGACCTAATTGAGATTCCATCTATAATCACATAAACTCGTAAAAGTGAAATCTATAAAAATACACCATGAATCTGGGAAAAAAACAGCCTTCTGACAATGTATGGTAGGGGACTGATATTCAGGTCTATTGTCCAAATCTAAATGCCGTTTCTGAGTGCGATACTGCAATTGTGGTATTTATGCAGGTGAGGATATTAGGATTGAGAATGCATATAAAAGACACATAAAAATTATTAACTAAATTGGTTACAATAATTAAAATATTATTATTATATAATATTTCGAAATAAAACCTGAATATCACTGGAGGACACAAATTTCACTTAAGAGCACCTTTGAAAGAGGAATACCACTACAAGTATGCCATAGGATCCAAATTAACGTTTTTTGGAACGAAGTTCTCTTTTTACAAAGACATCTACGTATAAATAATTCGCGTTTAAATAAAATAAATTTAACACTATTCTAATCATAACTGTTCTCTTACATTTTACATTTGGAAATCATATAAGTATTTTAAGTAATCATCAACATAATATTTTAAAACTGTACATCTATACATTAACAGTCATCCTTATTTATACAAAATAACAAATATATAAATTTTGTATTAATTTCTAATGAGCAGTATTGCCGAAACAGTTTTGCACACTTTAAAGCAATTTTAGATGTCCCTTATGTTAATCACAGCTGCGCTCTTTTATTTTAGAGCGTTTCTTCCTGTGATATGTTTGTTCTTCCTATCTGTTTTTATCTCATGGCCGTAACACATCCATGGGCGAATTGACTTGCACCTGGGGCGTGTTGAGTGTGGTACTGGGGGGCGACATACATGCGTCTTGAGAGTTATCTGGCTCCAACTCCGGTATGGATATTAGCTCAAAGTCTGGAATATTCCCCGTATATGACATTAGCTGATTCCCTTCAACTGAAAGTCACCCAAGAAAAAAACTAGTTTTAATTAATTTGTTAATACAACTACACCGACTATGCATGAATTTTATAACAGTCAAATTAAAAGAATCAAACCACGCGAACATTATCTTCGTCAACTAAACAAGATACTTATTTAAAAAAATATACATTGGTATGATAAACCAATATTGAGGTTCTTAATGTTTATATTAGAACATTCAAAAATATACTAAATTATTCCCTTGGAATCCCAAAAGTAAATTTCTCATTGAGTAAACTTATATTAAGATCAATAGTATAACAGGAAAATAGATGTAACAATTTTATCGGTGATATAAGCATTCCTACTTATTATAAAATATTTCTACTGATTGATGCATGATTCTCTAAAACTAAAATGAAATTTAACAAGTGTATCCTTGTCATTCTCTATACAAAATGAAAAAGAGAGACTGATATTAAATTTAGTCTTAAGTTTACAGAATCATGCCAGAATCGACACCATTGTCATATTTAGAATAATTCCAAATACGGCAATATTATGTTATTATTATGTCGGTAACTTGAAAAAATAATAAAAACTATACCTACTTAATTAAAACATTAGTAAATAAGCATATATCTTTATACGAACACATACCTAATTAAATAATGACAACAAGCTATAAATTCGACCATTGTACAATTTTGGTCCCAGACCAATTTAAGTGTAGATACGAGTAAAACATAATTAATTAACCTGCGTTATGGATAAATCTTATATTACTACTTATATGAAACTAGACCTAAAATACAAACAAAATACATGCATAATGGCTTCACCAAAACAATTATCGTCATGTTTAAATCTGCCATTTTCATACACCTCTTAAAATGCAAGGCAACCTTGCTTATGCAGGCATAATTTAATAACGTTTTAGTGTTAACTAGGTGCGACAGTGCATGAAACAGCATTTCTCAATCCTAGGGAGCTACCATCTACCGAAAGTTTTGATGTTTTTCAGATGTTCATATTTGTAGAAGTTTCCGCGTTTTCAACTTTACCTACTACCAGGTATAGTTTCACTATTATATCAATAAAAAGTATTTTAAAAGTTGCCACTTTGAATCTTCCACCTCAATCGTTTTGGTGCTGTCATATGGAGGCCATAGGTAAAGTTGCGCTATAGGATAGGTGCTCATATCTAAAAGCAACAGACTGAACTACTTTTCTATCGTAGGTACAATGCAAATGAATACCGTCTTCGTCAGTACACTGCATGTCCTGGCGTCCGTCGTCTCCGCTTACATTCGCAATTTCACCTTTCTGCTTCCTTGCTTTAATTAACAATGAAATACATTTTATAATTTCTTGCTTTACATACTGAATTATCGTTCCGCAGATACCACACGTCATGACAAAGGGAAACTGTCCTTTATGCTATTGTATATAAACTGACTTATAAGAAGTTGTTTAATTACCTGCAGTATATGATCGCTAATCTGCTTCTTATTACATTTGAAACTAGATTGAACAAACCGAAATTGAACTCATTTTCATTTTAACAAATTTAGGTTTTATTAATAGATTCCTTTCCAACCTGGTAGATCCATTCGAGTAAAACTATTAGCATGTTGCTTGCAGGTGATTAAACAAATACTTTATATATTAAGTACAACAGAATCATACAAATCGACCTAAGAACAATTAAATGTTTTTTAAAAGCATTACATTTATAAAATATTATGTATATATAACATCCTAAAACGACTTCTATATTATAGTAGGTAACAACGATATAATCATAATAAACTATAGAATTCACGTAAATTGGATAAGTAAATTAACTAAATTATTCTTAACATAAAATTATGTGTTGATTGTGCACAACATTATTGGTTTCTGAGAGCATTGTTTTTGTCACAACTACTGTATCTAATAACACTTCTGTCGCGACGTCACTAATTGTAACCACCACAACTAACATTAACCCTTTACCAAGAATATCCAATACGTCTATTGTAATCTCGCGAATCAAAATTCTTGCAAAATTCTTGAAAGATGAGTAGCGGCAGTTAGAGGCTAATTTGCAGGTGATGCCTCACTATTACCGATCAGCCAATCAAAATCAATCATCGGATACTGTTTGGTTGTATCTACAATTAATATAAATGTGAAACAAAACTTAGATATTATTGAAGACATTATGTTTACCCTAACTGTTGTAAGTACACTGATGAACGTGAATAATGATGTCATGACTTTCGGACGTTAACTTCTTAGTAGACAATTTTGCTAAATATAAAAGAAGCTAGTACAATTTATTATTGTATAATAAATACATTGTGTTTAGTATCGTCCGTGTCGTTGACTGGGGAGATTGAGATACCTTTGTGCTTAATTATGTCAAGTGTTAAAAATATATATTGGTGCATAAGACACTACTTAATGTAACGTTAAGCTGAACTATAAATGCAAGCAAAAGTTAAATACTGTGCAAATATTAGGATTTCCTAATAATGTAAGCAACGATATTCAAAACCCTAGATAGACACGAGCGCTCAAAATGTGTCCCAATCAAGAAGTGCTTGAACGCCACTTAAGCACTTCATGGTTCATAATCACGTGCGGGCCATTGAAAAGTGAACATGCCGCAGAGCTCCGTGAAAATTGCGAAAAAAATACTTATATTACGTAAATTATATTATTTCGATAGGTATCAATTCAATGTTTATTAATATTACGCATTTGGAGCAAATTTTGTTCTAATACTTAGTTTATACTCATTTAATAAAAAAAAATTGTGATATTCAAATGCATGGTCCGTTATATAGCTGTCTTTCCTCGGGATCCGTACCTGCTATATTGCTAACAGCGCGTTCAGAATTACGCATAGAATCAAATATATATATTATAAAGTGTATATTCTTCCGCCAATAGCAACAAGTCGTAAAATTTTACGAGCTTGCATTTCGAACTGTCATAACTCTTTGAAGTATGCGTTTAAATTAAGTCCTTATATACTAGGAATTAAAGATGACTTTTAATATTTGTTTCTTAGGTTTTCACGCACATCACTCATTAAATAAAACTAGTTTTTACGGGTTAATGCACGAAACTTTATTTAAATAACCGAACGCTCAATAAAAGTCTTTCGAAGGTAGCTCGACAAATTAAATAAAAGTTTGATTCTGACGACGTAGCCTGTAAAGGCTACGAAACGTCAATAAATAAATAAACTTTCGTGCATTAACACGTAAAACTAGTTTTATTTAATGACTTTTAATGTAAAGAAAATATAACTAGAAAAAATTCCACGCGGACCAGGCAGCAGACGGGACTCGAACCCGCACCCTTCGCAATCCGGGCGAATGCACTGACCAATTATGCTACCGCGGCCCTCACGGACCGCGTCGAAATTCTTTCTAGCTATTCTTAAGCTGCAAGGCAAGCTGGAGGGCCGCGGTAGCATAATTGGTCAGTGCATTCGCCCGGATTGCGAAGGGTGCGGGTTCGAGTCCCGTCTGCTGCCTGGTCCGCGTGGAATTTTTTCTAGTTATATTTTCTTTAGATTTAAACATCAAGCAGTTACATGCTTTAAAAATAATAAAAATTATGACTTTTAATGTTTCAAATGCCTTATATTGTTTTTGACTACGCGATTATCTGACGGAGCTCCGTGGATTATCCAATGCACCTTTTGAACAGGTTTCGACCACGATTTTGGTGTTGTTGTTTATCTAGGGTATTAAATATCGTTGAGTGTAAGTATTTCATAAATCTATTTTTGTTATATTTTCACATATTTAGTTCTAATGTAATTGGCTGAAATATTCTATTTGAGTGAATATTAAAATTGCATGTAAGTACAGAAAACCGTGGTTAAATTGTGCTTTTATATAATTTTGCAGTTCTAAAGGATTTTATTGATTTTCTGGTATTGTGACAGTAGTGGCTGATGATATAAACATGCTTTGGTTTATATTTTACTGCCAATTCGAGTTGCTATCAAATAAATATCAAAATATGCAATCTAGAACTAAAGGAGATTGCCCATTTAGTATGATCAAAAGTTATGATCATATAAATATATTTATGTCCTGGTAATACAAAACCTACTTGATTATGCTTATCATATAAAATGCCATGTGCCAACTTTTGTTGTCTTCTTTTAGGTTTCAAAAGATATTTAATAAAATGAGTCTGTTTTTGGTTAAAGTAGATTCAGAATAATATGGACTCATAAGTAGCCGTATTTAATATTTGCATTTGTTTTTAGATGTAAATGATGAATTGCATTTTTTTTTATAAATTATTACATGATACCTACTACATTCTAATGAAAACAAGGAAATTACAATACTAAAGACAAGGCTGTATCGGCTTAGTTTCCCTTGCCTTTCTAATTCTTATAAGGATAACAAAAAAAACGATTGACTTTTTTATTCATTTGAATCAAATCGTCGCTTATACAACAATGCCGCGTAAATAAAATTTGACAAGTTTTCAGGAGAGACAAAAATGTGTTTTTTTTTTATTAAACACTTCGTTAATGTTTTATGAATTTAAAAATAGGTATGAGTTAGCTTTCATTTTGATATCAAGAGATAATATTAGTATATTTAGTTCTGTGAAACTAAATATTTGACTTATGCGGTTTAAGTCCTACAAAATAAAGACTTCTGCGGTTTTCATACTTTTTATTTATCAGTAATTAAGTAACAAAAATTAATTCTCCAAAGCTAAAGCGTCTTATATAATACTAGTAGGAACTATAAAAAATACTTGACAATGCACCAAGGAACTTCAGTTCCTTGCAATGCACTTAATTGTATTTTGCTGTCTAAGGTACACTTATCAATAAAAATGAGTATTTATGTGAAAATTATTATGATCTTATATAACATACTTTGTTAAATTGTTTTGGTAAAAAAAGCTTTTATAATTATAATTAAAAAGTGCCAATAAAATATAATAGAAAAAGACAAAAATAAAGCAAAACTAAACAGTTTAAAAAAAAACATACATTATTTTATAGGAAAAATAACGTATAGTAATAGTTTGACAAGTTCCGTAATATTAAGAAATTAACAATTCTTGATTCTGTTACATCATATTAATAATTGTTTTATCGTTCAATTACATCACAGTTAAAAATTGAACTTGGAATGGTATATCATCGTAAAATTAATAACAGTTAGATGACAGCACCGCCTTTCAATCTTGTAGATCCTTATAGTTTCGCTGGGAAATTGGTAGTCTCTAGTAGTAGTATATAGTTTAAGAAATGCATCGAAACCTACGATATTGCTTAATTTCGTCGGACGTTGAGGCAGTGGTTGCAAAGGAACATTAAAATTTAATTTATACCAAATAGTACCGTTTGGGTTGTGAACTGGAACCCTTAAGTCAGTTACAGTTGGATCATTGGCTTTCTTTCCCAGCCGAATGCTTTCACAAATTAAGTCTTTACTTAAATCTGTAAAAAAGCTATAATCTACAATGCAACATTCGTGTGGCATTGGGTCAGTTCTGGCTTTTATTGCTATATCAGCATACTGTGAAGGTAACCCGTTCCTTTCTTTCAATATGCGGTGCTATTTCTGCATCAGTAATATTGCCTGCTTCATGACCACAGCAACATCCCACCTATCTTTTTTTAGAAATTCTTCAAAAGTATTCATGAGCACCATGCTTTTTTTGAAAAGCTGGCATTTCGTGAATGATTAAATGAATGATCATTCACGAAATGCCAGCCTTTGAAAAACAAAGCATGATGCTCATGAATATGTTGAAGAATTTCTAAATAGTCTCCCAAAAACGCATTCTCGTTACTGTCGATCAAATACATCAAGAAAGTACTTGGAGCCATTATTCCAAATCATGTTTCATCTTAACAAAGAGTACACCAATAAATGTGATTACGAATCTGCAGAATGTCTCTCTAGCAGGGCTTTTGACGATATATTTTTAAAGCTCAATTTGAGCCTATATGGCCCAAAAATATATAGGTGTGATGTTTACTGTGGTCATGAAGCAGGCAACATTACTGATGCAGAAATAGCACCGCATATTGAAAAAAAAGGAACCGGTTACCTTCACAGCATGCTGATATAGCAATGAATGCTATAACTGACCCAATGCCATACGAACCTCGCACTGTAGATTGTAGCTTTTTTACAGATTTAAGTAAAGACTTAATTTATCAAAGCATTTGACCGGGAAAGAAAGCCAATGATCCAACTGTAACTGACTTAAGGGTTCTAGTTCACAACCCAGATGGTGCTCTCATGTGGTGGCTGGAAATTCTCACGTTAACACAATTTTCTATGGCGCACTGACGACTTGTGCGGTTGTAACACTGTCAACGATTTGCGCGGTGCCAGTACAACTCAATAAATTGCTATGATTGGCTAATTTCGAAATTTTACATATTACCATTGGTTGCGCGGCAAAAAGATCTATCCAATGATGTACAAAACGTCACATCGTCATTTTTCGACTTGCGCGGTATTGTTGTTTAAGCGACGAAATGCATTAAATCTATAATTGCTTCTCAGTCAAATTTACCATTGCGAAATCAATCTTCAATAAATGAAGGTAGTATGCATTTCTTAAAACATACAAAATAAAAACAATTTCACTTTCGGTCAGAGAATCAATAAAAGATAGGCAGAGTGACTCTCAAATAATGGCGGAATAATGTTTAAGCTGCAGGAGGAGGAATAATTAAAAAGTGAAGTTACATATTAATTAAGGACAATCAGACCTTAAAAGATATTATAGAATAGAAATTACTTGATTTTTTTCGTTTTGTTTTTAGCCGCAAATCATTATGACACATTTTTTTCTAAAAGGTACTGAATTGGCATTCTCCTTTGACTACCTCTTGAAATATACAATTAAAATAATCCAATAAAACTAATATAAATAAGATGTAGGAGTTAGGAGCTTTATGCTCTAAATTTCTCCTTTTATAAAGCTTGCCGAGTCCTTGTAATTGATAAAAGTATGGATGTATAACTATTTCAGCAGCTTGGCTTTAATAACAATAATTACATAAGGCGTTTTCGAAATCTTCGTGAGTGAACACTGTCCTATGCAGTGAATAATTTGGAACCAATCATACCTTAAAATACTTATTTTTATAATACCGAACTAAAGCTGACAGATCGCAGCAGATATATTAAAACAATATATAAATTTAATGTTGATGTTCCTCAAAATAATTTCAGCACTCAACTAATTACTTCAATAAGTGATACTTACGGAGAGGGTAAACCTGAGCCTCATTAATCGAATAAATATTGTAAAATTACTGATTAATGACTGGATTATTTGATGTGTAAGATGCGATATCACAAAATTTTGAAATGAATAATATGTTAAAGTTAGCTTACCACCATTCGACGTTTTCGCCCTATCATCCATACTATTGTAAGAGAGGCCATAGAATGGATCTTCGGAGCCAAAAAGCTAGAAACAGAAATAGTATTAATTATCTAGACAAATCTATATATATTTTTCTATACAAAATAACTCACTGAGCGAAGGCAAATGTAAGATTTTTTTATGTACACGGTCCTATAATATTAATCAACATCATTCTGGGAGTTCAATCATAGTTTGTATATGTCATCCCCCAATCAATGTAATTCTCCAAATTGTGAATGCTTGATTCACGTCCATGAAGTTTTCTCAAATAAGTAATTACTGTTGTTAATTGCCATTTTAGTGACGAATACTTAGGTCCACTTGCAGAATTTTTTTCTAAATCTCAATTTAACTAAAACCAGATTTAGCCCGTACAATAATATCAAATTTTCATTGATGTTTTGACATTTTCCTATGGGTTAAAACTAGTTTTAGTTTAATCGAGATTTAGCAAATATGCTGCAAGTGGCTCCAAGTCATAAAATTTATCGAATCGGTAATTTTAGGGCATAGAATTAAAAACAAGTTTCAACGGTATAGATGCACTGATTTTTTTAATTATTGACGTTTCGCATCCTTTTCAGGATGCGTCGTCAGAATAATCCTGAAAAGGATGCGTCGTCTCAATAATCCTGAAATGGATCTAAAACGTCAATCAATAAATAAATCAGTGCATCTGTATCGTTGAAACTTGTTTTATTGAATGAGTGGTGTGCGTGAAAATATAAGAAAGATACAGAATGAAAATTTTATAAAACTAATAAAGTTAGGTCTTACTAAATAATATCGTTATTTTTCACGTTTAAAACATTTAATATCTTTTATATATATATATATCTCTCTCTCTCTCTCTCTCTCTCTCTCTCTCTCTCTCTCTCTCTCTCTCTCTCTCTATCTTTTCTTTATATCTTATTATCCTAGTAAAATATTGTTTTTTTTTTTTATTTCGGTTGTAAAATGCCCTTACCATAGTTTAACCGCACCGAAATCTGTCTACACTCGAATGAGCGAACTCCCATCTCATCTTGTCTTGTCTAATCAGTGTTCATCTATACCCTTAGTACAAGTTTGAGCTCACGATAACTATCATAGTTTTCGTAATTGTAAATTATGTTTCTATGTCCATTTTGGTGAAATGTAACCAAATATATGAACTTAAAATTTAAGAAGACGCAAATGTTTTAATGTTAGAATTTAAATACTGTTTATTTGTATTGAAACGAAAAGATAAAATCAGTACCCTTAGTACGAGTGCGAGCTCACGAAAACTGTCATAGTTTTCGTAATTGTAAAACTCGTACTAAGGTTACTGAATATAGTGACAGTTTGACGTACTTAAAATATCGCAGGCATTTTTTGCGAGAATAATGCCTCAAAAAGCCGTCGCGTGCCTTCCGAAAATGCACTTACAATACTAGAAATACAAATAAAGCCAATGATGTAACATTTTACTCGTAAGTTTTTAGATTTTATTAATTATTAAATTTATTTTCTTTTGTTGTCATAAATATTGAAATCTAATCGGACAGCGCATGACAGAAAAGTACTGTTGGAAATTATTGCAAGACAAAAAGAGACAGCACTATTCTCTCGGTACTGCGCTGTGCGTTTTGACGTTTGTCCGGCCAAGAAGTTTCATAAAAATACATAGTTCTAAATTTGAAAGAATTTATTACTGTTGCTCATTCTCAATTTAGTGACGAGCACTTAGTGTTAAAAATTATCGAATCGGTAATCTTAGGGCATAGACAAAAACTATATTATATTAGGTATTATTATATTTAGTTAACATGATATAATATACATAATTATATTTAGGTCTTCCGGTAAAAATTTTTACGTTTAAAAGATTTAGTTATAATATCTCTCTCTATATTTTCTTTATAGTAGCTGACCCGGCGAACTTCGTACCGCCCAAAAGTCGATGAATGTGGTTGTTACATTTAAAAATTTAAACTCAATTAAATTAGTTATTTTACATTTTATAAAACGAAATACAAAAAAGGTAAATATTTAATAAGGGTAATATATCTATAGATAATTAAATTTCAATAACTTATACTTTAATAGTGTATTAGCGAAATTTAAATCAGGGTTTATTGTTTCCCATGGGGTGCTAGGTCGGACAACCTCCTCGTGGTGCACCCTGGGCAACGTCGGCTTGAGCGGAATCCATGCTCGCCGGCGGCTAATGGTCTGACAAGTGGCTCCCGTGGTGAGGGGGCGTAGTATGGCTGAATTCTATTCGGCGGCCGCATTTCGTGGCTTGTGGGGGCGATTTTCGCCAAGGCGCTTGCGCCTGTCGGTTACCACGGCTGGCGTCCTGGGGAGCCTGGGCCGCGGCAGTCGTGGTGTGTCCGTTCACGGACGGGGTGGTTGTGGCGCGAACTCCGCGTCGCCTCCGGCCGACCCGTAACCCCGCACATGGTGCGGGACCGGGGGCTGCCACCTTTCGGGGTGGGGGCCGCAAGGAGACAACCTTTTCAAAAATCACAATGATGAGGCCAGGTAGGGTCCCCCTCGCCCGGAAGAGGGGAAAACCTTTATGATGGTAGGTTCGAACAAAACATAGTTGTTTTGTTCGAACCTTAGTAACCCCCTGGGGTAGTCCCCAGGGGGTACTAATCCCCCCCGTAGGACCGCGGAAGGCGGCTGCGGGCAACCGGTGTATTCTGGGGCCGGTCGAACAAACCCTCAATCCTCATGCGATCCCGTCGAGAGGAGCGGGCGCCAGTCGGTATCCGGGCCGGCGGGTGTTAAATCTGTAACCGAGGCGTTGGTGGGAGACCCATGTGACCCCGTTGGGACCGGGCGCTCGTCGATATCCGGGTCGGCGAGTGGTAAATGGTCCAAATGGTAAGTGGTCCAAAACGACCACACACGCCTCTGTAGCAGAGGCGTGTGTGGTCGTTTTGGAAAAAGGCCCTTTTCAGGGCCAACCCAAAGGCCCTTCTCAGGGCCAACCCAAAGGCCCTTCTCAGGGCCAACCTGAAGGCCCTTCTCAGGGCCAATCGGAAGAGGGTACGCTCCAGCAGTATGAGAGCGCTGTGGAAATGCCTAGAGCATCGCGATCGCGGTCTGGCTCGATGTTCCAGTCCACGGTTCGCCGAAAAAGAGTGCAGGGCGAGGGCGCGGTCGTGGTCGCCCTCCTACTACCGGAGAATATGTTGGGCTCGCCAGAGCCAAACAGGAGGCGGCGGAGGCTGAACGAGCTCAGCTACAGGTCCGCCGTGAGAAAGAGATCGCCGAGGCGGAGAAACGGGCCTTCGACACCAGGGCAAAGTTCATGGCGAGCAGGATGGACAACAGCGCATCAACGCTGACGGGTTCCGCTCCTAAAACCTCCCTCGATATCGAGGAAGTTATAAAAAATGATTGTGGGGTTATTCTTGAGGTGGCTAAAAAGTCGTCGCACCTTAGTGGGCCATTCCAAAAGGCCCTTAAAAAAGCGGCCCAGTCTATACAGGACTGCTTTGAGGAGGTGGCACAGAAAACGATATCGGATGATATGAGGGCGCTCAAGGCGGAGAACTCTGCCATGAGCAAGGAGCTTGCCGAGCTTAGGCAGAGCGTCTCCGAGCTGACGAGGGAGCTGAAATCCCTGAAAAGGAAGAATTGTTCGAGCTCTCTTGTGCCTATGAGCTGCGAGGAGGTGGAGATGGTGGTCGAGGAGACTCCCCCTACTCCCTCCATTCTGGCTCCCCCGGTGCCGCTGTGTCCTCCTCCCACTGCTGGTTCTGTTCTGTTCTGTCTGCTCAGCTAGAACAGGTCGCTGGCTCTACCAAAAGGGTCAATCCTTCGCCGGCTACTCAGACCGAGGCGAAGAACAAGGCTTCCAGAAAGGCCAAGCCTGTAACTGACAAGCCTGCGAAGGCGAGCCCCCCGGCGGTGCCACCCGCACCTACGCCCGGGAAGAAGGCGACCCCTCCGGCGAAGTCCTCCCCAGTACCGGAGGAGTCTGAGTGGACCACTGTAGAGAAGAAGAAAAGGAGAAACAGGAGAAGGAAGCGCGCCCCTGCAGAGGAAGCAGCGGAGTCTAGCTCTTCGAAGCCCACTTTCTCTGCAGTGGCAAAATCGAAGTCGGCGCCAAAAGACGCCCCGAGTCAGCCTCAGCCACCCAAGTCGGCCAAAAGGCCAGCCAAGCCCAAACTGACTCCTCCGAAATCGGCCGCTGTCATCGTCACGCTTGACGCCGCAGCGGTCGAAAAAGGGTTGACCTATGGTGAGGCCTTGGGCAAAGCTCGGACCGCCCATAATTTTGATGAGTTAGAGCTCGGTAGATTGAGGTGTCGTCACACGGCCACGGGGGCTCGCATCATAGAGGTCTTCGGCACCCAATCTGCTGAAAAAGCAGGCCTTCTCGCCGCTAAACTGCGGGACACCCTGTCGGACGTGGCAAAAGTCGTCCAGCCGGTCAAGCGTGTGGACCTTCGAGTCTCCGGCCTGGACGAGACCATATCAAAGGAGGAGCTGGTCGCTTTAATTGCCAGGAAAGGCGAATGCCAGCAGGACCAGGTGAAGGTCGGAGAAATCCGGACTGGTCCTGGAGGCTCGGGCTCGGCACTGGTCAAGTGCCCAGTCACCGCGGCCAAAAAAGTCACCACCGGGCGGCTGCTTGTTGGGTTTAGCTCGGCGAGTGTGACGGTGCTGGAGACCCGGCCCATGCGTTGCTTTAAATGCTATGGGACGGGTCACTCTAGAGAACTTTACCCCTCTTTGATCGACAGAAGTGGGCTGTGCTTCCGTTGCGGTAAAACCGGCCACATAAGCTCCACATGCAGCGTGGAGCCACACTGCGCCGTGTGCTCGGATCTGAAGAAACCGGCGGGTCACGTCATGGGGGGGAGGAAAATGCAATCCTCCCCAGACGAGGGGGAAGATCCCGGCGTCACAGCCAAGGCCTCCCACTGAGGGTACCTCCGGTGCGGCTGGACTAGAGGAAGCTATGGAGTCATAATCTTTAATGGATTTAAGACGACCATTTAGCTTCCTCCAGGGTAATTTAAACCATGCCACCAGGGCCCAAGACCTGCTGCTGCAAG